GTTGGGCTGAGAGAAAGCAACTGGCCCAAAGTCACCCATCCGGCTTTCACATCTAAGGTGGGACTAGAACTCACCATCTCCTGCTTTCTAGCCTGGTGCCTTCACCACTAGACCAAACTGGCTCTCCTTTATTTCTCTTTTATTTGATTTCCAAAAAGTGCTTTAGAGCTCATGTGACTATAAACATAACCCTTGTGGTCAACACCTTAAAGCAGGATGCCCTTTCCTGGGACCTACTGCAGAAGTCTCCAAAAGCACATTTTGGAGATTAAATCAAAGGGTTGCACTGCCCTGTTTGGAAGCACTTGAGAGAGGCTGGCTAGACCAATTTCATCCAGAGGTTACTGGTCATGAGCTTGGTTTAGATGTTATTAAGGAGACAAACTCAACCGCGTGGTTGCAAATACTGACTTTAATATTTAATCTTTTAAACAGTAGTTCCAGAAGGGAACAGGGAAAAGGATTGGTACCAAGTAGGAAAGGAATGTAAATGTTTCCTTTTCTGCTGTATGCTGGTTTAAAATCTTTCCCAAAGAAGCTACTACAAGCCATGTGCCTGGAAGCTTTCAGTGATAACAGTAAAACTCCTTTTCTGGCTCAAAGTGGAGCTGAGAAGGAATTGCTATGAATCAGGATAGATCTGAATCAGGTCTACCTTATAGGAAAAAAAGATATTGTTTTCCCTATTGCATGCCCCACACTGCACTGGCAGCTGCTATTAAACTATATAAACTAGACATGTTGTCTGTAGTCTAAACCGTTTCTGGTTTGACCCAGTCTCTTTGTTCAAATATCAACTCCTGCTTATCAGTGTATAGACAGTATTCCAGATTATTGCCAACAACACTGCCTATTGTAGCTGTTGTCACTGGCTACTCAATAGTTTCTGCCAGGGAATGTGGCACTCTTCCCATCCTTTACATATAAAAGCAACTTGCATATTGTTTATAACCCTGATTGTTTAACTGAAGGTGAGTCAGTAGGCCCAGGTCTTACTAAGTTTCCTAGACATTCAATTAATCTTGGACGCACAAACTCAGTATTAGGTACTAGAACTCTAAAGCTGCAATTTGTGAAGTTGTAATCTTCCATCATTATTACTACAATTGCTGCTGCTACTACAGCTACCACTTTGATTATTCCTAATATTATTGCTGATATCGGCACTATCAAAGCACTATTTCTGTGGTGGTTACTCTAATTAACACAGTCATTAATTCCTGTGTTATTCTTCCTATGAACTGATCAGTGGCGAATTTTGAAGAAAGGGACGTGGAAAAAAAGTGTGTTTTCTCTTTGAATATCCAGTGTAGATCAGATAGGAATATTCATATCTCAAGGCACACATCCCCAAGCCTAAATTCCCATCGCATTCCTGGATACTTCATGACTGCTTTCATGCAACACGCTAAATCCCAAACCTAGATTAATAAATAAACTAGAAATTCTCAAACTGTGAGTTGTGACCTTCCAGGTCATGAGCAACGTAGGGGGTGGGCAGGTGGTCATTTTTATTTTTTAAATGCCATTGCAGTTGTAGAGGCCACACTTAAATGCTGTCAAAACTCACACTAGGGTTTGCTGTGCACTTCACTTGTACAAGTCCTCAAAGTCTGCTAGCTCTTACTGAACATTTAATTATTGGAAGTAAGTGGTATATTTATTCATTCCCAACCCTAGTTCCAATAAAATCATGAGTTTTATTCATGAGGGACAAAAAATTCACACAAATTTGCTTATCTTGTTGGGGAGTCACAAGCATGCAATGTCTAAGCATCCCAGTTTTTTTTTTTTAAAGAATCACATTATGGCTTAATGTGATGGTCTTTGATTTGTAATAAAGATTTGATTTGAATGTGATAGCTTAGTTCCAAACTATGCAGCCCCATGTCAGTCCAGTCTCCTACCTTGTAGGAGAGTTCAGCAGGAGTCTGTTCAAAATGTCTTGTACCTAGACATTTTGAACAAACTCAGTATTTTCTCTCATTCTTCCCCCAATATTTTTTTTCTCAGTTGACACATTAATTCTGGAAAGTCATGGGTCCTATGACTCTGTGAGGAATAGGTTCCATCCTGAAACTGCTTTCAATATTAAAAAGGTTTTTTCCCTAACGTTCAGTTGAAATCTATTGTACTATATCTTAAATCCACTTGTCTATATCCTGCACAACCGAATGAGGAAAGCCTCCTTTTTGATGACTTCTTTCCAGGTATTTGAAGAATACCTTTCTAGCATGTTCTCTCTGACAAATAACTTTAATTGCATCTGCTTTGGAGAGTAAGAACCTGACACACCCAACATTTTAAAGACGTTGATGCCACTGGACATTGAAAAGTATAATGTGTGAATTGGATCAACTATTGTTTGCAAACACTTGAATATAAATGTCCTCATTGAATATACATGTGGGGGCCATTCCAAGGGTTTAGTTGCATAACAGACAACATAGACCCAGGAAAACATTAGAGTAGTGTTTCTCAAGCTTGGCAGCTTGAAGATGTGTGGACTTCAACTCCCAGAATTCCCCAGC